CTGTGTTTTTTTTTTTTTTTTTGTGGTGGGCGTGGGTGTTGGTTGGTGTGGGGGCAGGGATCTTTTATGCTCATAGTGAGTGCCAATTTGTATCAGCATATACCGTATTTAACACTTTTATGCGTTCCTTTTGAGAAGAAGATAATTCTCTGGTTTTCGGTTAGTGCTGTTTACAGTCTCAAAAAACAGTTTCCCGGATAAGGTACTTTAATATGATATACTTTAACTAAACATAATTTTTCTATTTGTCTGATAAGGCATATGGCCCATGTCCTGTGCACTTCTTGTGGTGTACGTGGCACATCATTGTTAATTTCATACATTGATTTATTTTATGTCATATAATGGCATTTCTTATTAATTTCTGTTACGCGCACATATTTGCATCTCTATTATACGTTTGTTGTAGGCCATACCTCCAATGCTCGCTCTACGCTGCCAGTCTGTTTTCCAGAAAACTAATGCATGTTGGCTGATTGCATTATATCTGATTGGCGGTCGATAAGCGGGTAAGTGCAGATAAAGTTTAATTGGTATTTGGTAAGCGTAAGTCTACCTTTGATTTCAGATTTACTATGTTTCCCCCCTTATATACCATGTTTTTGTTTAATGAACCTAACATAAATTAATATGTTTCCTTTCAGTGCAAAATGGTATAATCTGGTTTTTCTTCATCAAGTGAGAGCCACAATTTCAACTAGACAATGCTATCCATGCAAACAATTCAACGTGAATGCTTAGTTAATTAGAAATTGGCTTCATTATGTTGCTCTTTTGGTATAGTAAATTTTTTTTGGTGTTTCTTTCTTTAGTAGTTGGTGTGTGTGTGTGTTTGTTTGTTTGTGTTTGGGTTGTCGGATGCGTCCTTAGGCGCGGGAGATCTATGGGTGGGTGGGTGGTTGTGTGTCTGCATTGGTGGGTGCATGTGGTCATGTGATTGTGCAGGTGTGCATTTGTATTTGTGCGCTCGCGAGTGTATGCATGAATGTGTGTGCTTGTGGCTGTCATGTGTTTGTGTTCAGGTACGTGGGTATGGGTAGGCAACTAGACATATGTGCATGGATGTGTTGGTGAGTGGGTATACATATGCAATTAACCCTTTCCAATATTGAACAGTTCAGAGAGTAGAATTCTGATTTGGATACAAATGTGCAAATTACCTTGATCCATGCATGGCAGAGGGAAGCGCAAGAAAATATTTAATAAATATCTGCTCGGAAGCCATCTTCGTGATCAGGGAGTTTAATCTCATAATACTAATTTTCTTACTCTGAGCCTGCTTCAAGTCTTCTAATTCACACAGCTCTCTATGCGATGCAGCTTTCAGAGGCAGTGTCGTTGGTATAGCTAGTTGATAATACCAGGATGCGATATTTTCTGGGATGGTTAACGTGCTTCGAGCTCTTTGGAAATTTGTTAAACATGACTATTTCAGATGTATCTTGCTAATGTTAATGAAGAAATATGTATATGTCGTCTATTCTGTACTTGTGTAAGTGGCTTGGTTATCTTGCATCTTATAATTTTACTGAAGAAGTATATATAATTTTCATCTATTCTGCGCTTTGGATATAAGTTGCTTATTTTCTCTAGTGAATTGGTGTGCGTTGTTTGCTTATGTATAACTGTGGAAGTCTTTACGTTTTATTGTTGAAGTGCCAATCCTGGGACATCTTCTCTTTATTTATCTCTCCAATGCTTTAAAAAAAAATATTTTATTTATTTATTTATTGCTACCTCGACATCTCAGTTGGTCTCCAAGGCTTTTCTGTGAGTTGGTTGACTTGTTGTTTTGGAATCAAGCCATGACGTATTGGTTCTATTTGTAAATGAAGTAGAGAGGAAAATATATACTTTGGCTGTTGAAGGGCTTAATAGTTCGAATAACTATGGAGATTATCAAAATGCGGTATACAGTGATACACTAAAACTTAGGGGTTTGGGTTTTAACTACTTTTTGTCAAGCAGAACTGAACTGATATAGATTCAAAACTGAATCAAATCAGATCAGAGTGGTTCAGTTTGGTTTGCTTGGTTTAGGTCTAGATATGTCAAGTATCACTCTTGCTCATTTAAACCTGTTGCTCATTTCATACTCCAAGTTGAAGAGTATAACTTGTCAAATAAACTATTTTACAAACTAAAATTAAACTTTTATTAACTAAGATATATAAAAATATTAATATAAATTATGATGGGAGTGGCTGTTCAGATTTTGGTGATAAATATTCTAAAATCGAACCAAATCAATATCTTCTAAAACTGAACTGAATTGTCGAAATTCAATCTGTTCGCACCAAACAGTGAACTGTCGAAATTCAATCTGTTCATACCAAATAGTATTTGTCCTCGCTAAAACTAAAAGAGGCAAAAGTTTTGGCATGGCAATAGGTTGATATTTTCGCTTTGAAGCAAATTCAAGGATTAGAATTAAATACAAAATATTGGCAGAAAAGAAGGAGGGGTAATTTTGTCCCTCCAAATTCCTCTTTTTTACAAAATTTGCTACAGTACACCGGGCCCCACATGTGATTTTAAATTTTTAAAATCACATGTGGAGCTCGGTGCACTGTAGCAAATAAGAGAGGGGGTGTGGTTGGAGGTGTGGTTGGGGGTGTGCCCCTATCATTTTCCCAGTTGTAAAGAAGTTTTTTCACATGAGAACTTGGATCGATGGGTCCCAAGCACATGAGCCAAAATCAAGGGGGCTGAAAAATTTTCTAATCTTAAGGCATAGACACAATTTTTCCAAATATTAAACTTATAAATGATATACACAAGGCGGGACCATTTGAAAGAAGAATAGGGAAAGAAATGGATTTTGGTGAGAAAGGACTGAGATTTGATAGGTTAAATAGCTTTCAAAGGAAATATCGGTTTGAAATAATAATCAATGTATCAAAAATAAAACAAATAATCTGATAAAAAAATTGAAACAAAGAATTACAACATGTGAGAATCATAAATTGCATCATGTTGTAATTAGGGGTGGAAATGAACCAAATAATTAATAAATGGTTCGATAATATATTGTTCGAATAACCATTCGGTCATATTCGATTCGATAGTTCATTTATCACTAAACAAATATTTTTTAGTATTCGAGTTTATTAACGAATAGAATTTAACCAGATGTATATTCGATTCGTTTGTCTATTAAATATTCGTTTAAATTTTGATCACAGCTTATTATTTGTATTATTACACATATGATGTCATATTTTTAACCCACTTACCATTTCTACTTAAATTTTATATATAGATTTTAAGACTTAAATAATCTTAAATCTGTTTTCTAATTAAAATTTTGATTTAAATATATATACATCATATATTATAAAAAAATAATTTTTATTTATAAATTTTAATACTATTTGAAAATTAAACTCTTTAACGAAATAAATATACTTTGATATTCGATAAGTATTCGTGAATATTCATGAATATTTATCAAATACCAAGTATTCGAGTTCGAATTCGAAAAACTAGATATATGAATAATAGAGTCCGCATTCGAATTCGATAATTTTAAACAAATACAAATATGAACACCTTAGTATTCGATTCGATTCGATCATTTACCACCCCTAGTTGTAATAACAATAGTTGAGGGGATCCAGTCAGAGGGTGCTAACTGCAACAAGTCAACAGATGTGGGATGTAGATTAAAAATATGACAATTTGGGGTCCAATAAAACATTAATAAATTTGTAAAGGTCCAATATGTGAAACTCTCCTGATTTAGTGGGATTTTGATCCTCTCTACTAAAAAAAATAGTGGAGAGATCACTATTTTTAATCTTAAGTGTTGATTATTTAGTAGGGGGTTATGATACAATCTAAATCTAATACTTATCATATCCCCGTGTATTACACTCATTCCTAATTTATACTAAAAAAAATTATAACCATTAACTAGATAATCAATGGTTATGATTACGTAACCTCCACTATTTTTTTAGTGGAGATATCCGAATCCGATTTAGTGTTCGTCTGCTACCTCCCCCAAATCCTTCCACTCAAAAATTCTTTCGCTCCAAAACCCTACAAGATTGAAAGTGCCATTGGGTCATGATCATCTCGTCTCCACAAGATTCAGTCACTTGGTGTAAATCTCAGTAAGCTTTTATCCCCCCCTTTATTTTATGCAATGATTCGTTCTCTTCAAAGAATTTCGACCCAAATCTTTTACACAAACAAGCAATCAAATCTAACCCTAACCCATCTCAGATTCCTCAAAACCCCAATCTCAAGGAACCCAGAAGAACCTAATTCCCCAGATTTCACAGTCTCTTACCTTATAAATTCATGTGGCCTCTCTCCTCAATCAGCCCTCTCCACTTCCAAAAAAATAAAGCTCAAATCCCCAGAAAACCCTAACTCCATCCTAAATTTCCTCAAATCTCATGGTTTCACAAATACCCAGATCGCAAATCTCATCACCAAGTGCCCAATACTCATCGCATCCAATTGGGACAAGACCATCAAGCCCAAATTTTACTATCTCCAATCCGCTGGTTACTCAAGCTCTGATCTTGCTAGCCTACTCTCCTCAATCCCTCATATACTCACTGCAAGTTTGGAAAATAGATTAAAACCCAATTTTGAGCTGCTTAAGTCCATTATTGGTAGCAATAAGTTGATAGCTTCAGCTCTTCGTCAAACAACTAGATTGATTCAGGGCAATCTCGAGACAGATTTCTTGCCCAACGTGAAGACCCTAGAATCCTGTGGGATCCCTAACACTAGCATTGCTAAATTAGTGGGTCTTCACCCTAGGGTCATTTTGATGCCAAATGAAAACTTTAAAGTGACGGTGGAGTTAATTAGGGAAATGGGTTTCAACCCATTATCGACCATGTTTGTTCACGGAGTTGCGGCGGTGTCAAGATTCAATCATTCGACGTGGAAGAAGAAATTGGGTGTTTACAAGAGTTTGGGGTGGTCACAAAAGGAGGTCATGTCGGCGTTTGTTAGGCAACCCTTTTGTATGTTGCTTTCGGAGAAGAAGATTAGGAAAGCGATGGATTTCTATGTGAAGGAGTTGAAGTGGGGCCCATCGTTTTTGTCGGTTCACCCTGTGCTTTTGAATCTCAGTTTGGAGAAGAGGGTGATGCCTAGGTGCTCGGTTACGAGCTTGTTGGAAGCGGAGGGGTTGATGACGAAGAGTTCAAGTGTGCACTTTTTGATGATAACTGAAAAGGATTTCTTGGATAAGTATGTGATCAGGTACAAGAATCAAATTCCTAAGTTGCTTGATGCATATAGGGCTGATTCTCAAAAGGCTTGTAGTGAAGCAATTCTATGATTCGTTTGGAGGGTTTTAGGTTCCGGGAGTTATCTTATGGTGTGTGCTTCCTTTTGTTTCAACTTGCTGAATGCACTAGCCATTTCAATGGTATCCTCAATTTCTTCTTGTTGTTGTAAGTTTTAGCTCAGAGATAGATTAGATATGAAGAAACTGAGTTTCCTTTTCCCCCCAGATTGTTGAATAATGCAGATTGCTTTGTCCTCTGGTACAATGCTGTCTCTCTATAGCTATATCAAGGAATCATAATTCTATTGCACATTATGTGTAGTTCGTGTCGAAGAGATATGACTTGATGTTAAACTTTTTTTTTATTGTTTTGCTTTTTATACTAAGATCAACTCATATGCAAGCTTTCACTTATTTGCATTACATTTATGTTACTTATTTTAATTGAATTATCTGAGTTTATTTTTCTCTAGAAATACCCGTGCCATTTGTTTTCTTATTCTGCCCCTATGATGTGTGTATCTTCTCCATTGTCTTTTTGATCGCCTGTTTCGTGACTCCAAGAAGAGAGTACATTGGACATATTTTGTTCAAGCTACCGTATTAGACAATCATTAAACACAAGCAACAAAGTTTAGGACCTAGTTGGGTGAATTTACTCAATTCGATAACAGTTAGCTCAGAGTTTCTGGAATATTTTCGAATTGAGCAAATTAATCATTTTCACTGTCTTGCATCTTATCCTACATGAGAGCACCTAATGCTTGCTTAGTTCTTTTTTTTTAATTACTTGCCGGTAGTCTATATGAATGAGTGACGACGATGTGCACTATTGCAGTTAAGTCTATTGTTCTTGTATTTTGTTTCGAAGAGACATATACACCAATCTATTGCCTCATATTAGAACCCTGCAATCTTCTATGGTCCCTAGCCCTAATATTGCTAAAATGTCCACTTTGTATACCTGAGTTTGGAGAAAATGACTTTGAGGTGTTCACCACTGAATATTTGTTTTCCAAAGGATTGGTGAGTAGAGATTCATTGCTGTGCTAAAAGTTTGATGATAGGGAGGAGAATTTCTTTAGTAAATACGCAATGAATATAGAAATTAGAGACCAAGTTCCTGAGGTATTTGTTTAGAATTTGCTGAATACCAGGGGATCAGTAGCAATAGGAGGCTCACAATCATGTTGCCGTCTTCTATACTAGTTCTAAATTGACAAGTCTTCTTCATGTGTGCTTCCTTTTGTTTAAAACTTTCAATGAAATTTAACATCATACTGCAACCACAATTCAGCTATTTCTCTTCAAGTATTATTCATCTACAAGTTCTACTTCTTACTAGCTACTGTAACCTTGACCTTTTCTTAGCGCATTTATCTTAAAGGCCAGATACCATGATGTGGGTGAACTATAATCTTGACCAACTTTGTGCTGACCCTGGTCTACCATCGGCAACAACCAACTACTTGCTTCAGGAAACCTAGACTATTCCTTTCCAAATGTAAGAACATTGAATATTGTCGAATCTCTTGACACCAAAAATAGTGTGTTAGAAGCAAAGGATTGATAAGGTCAAGGGTGTACTTTCTTGACGACAAGTAAGAAGAATCTCAAAAAAAAAAAAAAAGTATGTGATATAGCATAAGAATTTAGTTCCTATGATGAATGATCCTCATACATACAGAGTTAGTTGTGTTAGTATAAAATAAAACTCAATTTGGTAGACACATGCTGTTCGGACCCTGACTCTGAACATGGAGTTGCTAGTCAAATTATTGATTACAAGAGCTCAAATAATTTGGTCTGGGTTAATTATCAAGTACCAGAATATCAAATTGAAAATATTATACATGGTAGAATATTCTCAAAGTTCTATATCAAAATGGGTTTTTGGCAAATGATCATATTAATATAAATGGTTTGCAAATATATATATATATATATATATATATAATATATATATATATATAATATATATATAATATAATATATTATATAAGAGGAGAAGAGAGAGAGAGAGAGCAGAAGAAATAGTGTGGTATGCCTTGTACCAAGCACAAAAGTTATTTTGGTAGTGAGGTGTCACATCTCCCTCCACTCATCTCAAATGTGGACGCACATTCAGATGGGTAATGAGTGGATGGGGATGTGACAGCATGCAACTGACGGGCTGTTTGTTCCCTGTTTTTTGAGGGAAGACTTTCTTGAAACCTGTCAAAGTGTCAAAAGTGTCACTTTTTGGCAGGCTTTCAGCCCAAATCGCCTCTAAAAAAGAGATTTTGGCTGAAAGCTGCCAAGAAGTGACACTTTTTGACATTTTGCTGCTTTCAAAGAAAGCTCTTTCCTCAAAACAGGGAAGCCAAACAGCGCCCTACCAAGCACAAAATTTGTGCTTGTAGCCAAGCATACCATATTTCTCATATATATATATATATATATATATATATATATATATATATATATATATATATATATAGTATAGATTAATGTGGTATCATAATGTCATATGAGAAGGATTCTCTGCATATACAATGATGTGGGCGACAATCTTCAACCAAGTGTATTTATGAAGTATTTGCTCTCTCCTACTTATTTCAGCTTGGTGAGATTGTTGCCACAATCAATGTATATGAGGGAATCCCTCATATGACATATGATTACCTCATTAATCTCTTATATATATATACTATATATATATATATAATATAATATTAATATATATATATATATTATATATATATCTAAGGGCGTGCTCAACATGTAGTGGCATGTTATAGTATAAAATTATGCTTCTCGCTAAATTTTAAATTGAGAGGTATTGATTTTATGCTTCCTTTTGTCTGAACCTGTGAGCATATTGCTTTTAGTGTGCTTCGCATACCAGCGCGTGTTTCTGGTGGGAGTCTACTGAATACTAATCAACTATAGCCTCGATCTCTTTCTCACAACTTTTTGGTTATAGCCGCTGATCTGAATCTGTTATATTGAATCTGCTTGTTGGTAGTTTTTAACCTTTTGAGGTACGTGTACATTCTCATCATCTTATAACGTTGCTTATGCAGGCTTTGAGTATCAAAGAAATTAACACATGTTGTCTTTTGTAGATCTATCCGTTTATATTGCTGATTTTTTTTTCATGGCAATACATGTCTAAAAACTCTGCAATAAAATCTTTCAATGCTTGGAACTTGGAAGGATCAAATGTAAACAGTATTATTTTTCAGTCATACATGTTAGATTAAGCTAGAAAATTCTTAGATACCTTATGGTACAAAGGCAAGTTGGAATCTATGGCGAGATTATTAGCTTGACGTTGGAGAAGATTTCAGTCATATAGGTTAATCATACATTTCTCTAGTTACCATTGTTATATTGTGCTGAGAATTATAGTATTCTCTTCATGTGATTCATGAATGTTTAAATATGAAGAAAGTGTATTCACATATTATACTGATGAAATAACCCTTCGCAACTATGTACATTACTGTTTATATTGCTGATTTAATCAGGTGGGGATGTTGAGCATGTTCTTTTTTATACATACACAAATGCTGAGTGCTATCAGACGCATGTTTATTTTTTGAAGATCAAATTTGTGATATGTAAACATTTATAGTAATGTTTTGAGGACTTCTATCGAACCCTTCGAGGAAATTATGCTATGAAGGTTGCTCTATGTCAAAGTTTTTTCTTTTTTTTTGTTGCACATCGATTGTCTTTGAGTATATTTACTCGTTTTCGATCTGTCCCTATGATCTCACTGCTTATAAAGGACAACATGGTTTACATTCACCGAACAACCGGAGAATAAGTTAGGGCATGTTTGGATTGAAGGGAATAGGGTGAAAGGGAAGTTAGGTAAACCATTCACTCCACTTCACCCCGTTTGGAAACTCTTCAATTAATAATTTTATATTAGTCACTAGAATTTCATTAATTGCTCATCAGTCCCTCAAATCCTAAGGAGCCTTGCAATTTGGTCACTCAATTAGGGAAATACTCCTGATATCTCTCTTAAAACTCATCATCTTTTTTAAAAAAAGTCTTGTTTTCAGTACACCAAAAATAGGATTTTATTGAATTTGTATTTATTTAAATTTAATTCAAAGTGTATAATTGTATTTTAACTCTTGTCTTCTTCCTAACCACTCCATGCTTAGTATTTTGACAAATTGTTGTCCAAAAATCCATATGAGGAAGAAAATAGAATTAGATCACGTAGTTGTCGGTTTCTTGGTTGCAAACTTTGAAGATGGTCTAATTGAGTTAGAATTAATAGATTGGTCTAAAGTGATTTCTAGGGTTCCAAAGATAAAAGTTAGAATGAAGAACGATGACAGTGGTGCAGCATTGAGTTACGCAGGACAAACGAACTCAATGAGTTCAGGCGCGATTAGAGGATTCGTCGTCTATGATCACGACAACCGTTCCATCCCTAGAATTAATATAAACTTTGGCTTTAGGGTATCAAAGTGAAAAATGGTGTAAACTTTGGTGTATCAAAGTGTTGAGAAACTTAAGGATATCAAATTGTAGAAGGGATATCAAATTGTAGAAGGGTGTAGATATTAGTGTGCCAAAGTGCAATAACCCTTGAAAAAAAAGTTAGCTGAGGTTATATTGATGGACCAAATATCAATGACTCTTGGATTCGAGGGACTAATGAGCAACTTCATAGATTTGAGGGACTAATATGAAGGTATTTGTTGTAATATACTAAAGAAATGAAACAAGAGAGAGACAATAGAAAAAGAGAAATTGTAATATTTCTTCATCAATTTCATTTCCATACATGGTATAATTTATAGATACATGATAGAAGATAAAATGATATCAAGTTAATAGTCCATATACAAAATAATGTCCACGTATATTTTGTCTTTTAGTTTTTAACAAAATATCTTTTATATTTCAACAGTAGTACTGAAGATTTTGAGCGGCTTCAACTAAAGTATCCCAAAACAAAATGGGCGAAAGCCCTCTCTTCTCACTCCGAAACCCTAATAAGCTATCGGACGATGACATCGCTTCTCCTTCAATCTCAATGCTCTGCGGAATTCTGTAAGCTCCTCCAGTTCCCTTTTCCTCCATTTCCATGGTTTTCTACTGCCACAATTAATTATGGTTACTTTTCTCCATAGAATTAGAAATTCAATCAAATTCTTGTTTAATTACAAACAAGGGCCAATCTCAATAACAACCCATCTCAGATTCATCTCAAAAACCCCAGATGAACCCATTAAGGATCAATCTTTATCAACAATCTCTTACCTCATAAACTCATGTGGCCTCTCTCCTCAATCTGCCCTTTCTGCTGCCAATAAAATCCAACTAAAAGCCACTGAGAATGCTGATTCAATCCTAAATCTCTTCAAATCACATGGTTTCACAGATACCCAGATCACAAAACTCATCACCAAGAGCCCAGCCCTTCTCCTATCCAATGTTGAGAAAACCCTGAAGCCAAAAATCGATTTTTTTGTCGATTCTGGTTTGTCTTCCACTGAGTTGGCAAGCCTCGCTTGCATTGATACAAATGTATTCTGGTCGAGCTTACAAAATAGACTCAAGCCCAATTTTGAGCTGCTTAGTTCTATGGTCAGGAATAAGAAGAAGTTAGTTGTTTCTTTCTGCCGATCTTCTCGTTTGCTTAGCAACAATCTTGATGCGAATTTCTTGCCCAATACTAGAATCCTTCATTTTTGTGGAGTCCCTCCTACCAACATTGCCAAACTAATCACCCTTTTCCCGAGGGTTCTGATGAATGAGACGGAGCGGTTTTCTACTAATGTTGAGTGCATTAAGAAATTCGGGTTTGACCCGTCAACATACCTCTTTGTTCAAGGAGTTTACGTGATATCGGGGACTACACCTTTGACATGGGAGAGGAAGTTGGGTGTGTATAAGAGTTTAGGATGGTCAGAAGGAGAGATAGTTTCAGCATTCACTAAGTGCCCGGGGTGCATGCTTCTAGCGGAGAAGAAAATTAGGCAAATGATCGATTTCTATGTGAAGAGACTTCATTGGAAGTCGTGTTATCTGGTGGGAAACCCTAGGTTTTTGAGTTTTAGTTTGGAGAAGAGGGTCCTTCCAAGGAGTCGTGTTCTTAGTGTTTTATCGTCAAAGAGATTGATAAGGAGATATCCATGTGTACACTATGGAGCTTTCTTAATAAATGAGGACAAGTTCTATAATAAGTATGTGAGAAACTATGTGGATCAAGCCCCTGAGGTGCTTGAGGCTTACAAAGGAAATTTAGAATTCGTGGGATTTAAGGGGGGACCATCAACTGTACGAGGGTCATAGTTATGTTTCACAATGCGTCTTTACTGTATCTCTCAGCATGTTGGTAGGGTCCAGATCCTTTCATTCTCTGGAAAAATGTCTCAAGGAGATAGATTGATGAACCAACTGATGACAAGGAAACTCTGCCTTTTTTGTGGAGGATACGTCAAAGAACTTATTGGAAGTCAGTGGAGTATTATTATTGTTTCTACATTTCTAGTTCTTAAGTTATTTTTTCTATTTTCTTTTTTTAACCAAACAAATATTTTGATGTAGCCATATTTCTAACTGATTTATTTGTTGCTGATTTGGAATTGAGATATCTGATTATGCGGCCTACTACAATTGTGGGTGCTTGTCACTTGTATGATCATTCATGTTATGTTTATGTCTTGTTTGTTATCATTCTGAGACCAGTATACTACATATATGATATAGCTTATCATTTCTGTAAGGAAGATAGGGTTTACTCCAAGAAGTAATGATAACCCGGTGATTGGTAATAATCTAGAAGTTGTAATTTTCTTTTTCCAACGGTAAAATTGGATTTTGTAATTTAAAGAATAACATAACTGTTTACATTAAGATAGGTCCAAAGTTGTATACTTAGTTTGTTATACACCATTAAGGTCGATCCATTTCGAAGTGCTTCTAAACCCCCTAAACAAGCATGTAAGTTTTGTAGCCGATGCATCGATTAGGAGTGGAAAAGATTTTTGTTCAGACCTACATTTGTAGGCATAGAATTTTCCACTTGCACAGGTAACCATTGACCTTAACACTTACAAATCCTTATAAACCAATTTTGTTAGGCAACAAATATTTTATAATATTAAACTAAACTGACTTTCTCTCTGGACTGTTATTTTTCCCCATAGCAAAAGAACTTGAACCTTTTGATGATATGCAGTCTAGAAGATGGATATCAACTCTAATGGGGTAGATCTTTCACATGAGTTGCTGAACATGGCATCAAATTGGAAACATTGAGCTCATAATCTGTCACGAAGTAGCCAAATTTGTCTCACTAAACATTGAATACTTGTCAAACACTATCTAATTATATATGGAGAGATGGATTGTTTCGCAGTTACATGGAACCAACTTGTATCATATTGAGTTTGTACTCTATGTGAGACGTGGATAATTTGTATTTGGAGGTACAACTGTTTTGTGTTTCGAGGAGGCAACTTTCTTGAGTTACTAAAGGATTATGATTATTTTTATGCACTAACAGTGTCTCCATTTTAAAGCTTATGTAAATGTATAGATGTTAGATTTTGCTATCTCTGTTCCTGATTTCGATTTCAGTGCCAAAGTACTAAGCTTATTATAATTACTAATGCTTTTTGTCTCATGGATTTGTCTATTCATGTCTCTTTGCTCAATTTACTCTGCAATTTTGATTTACAATCCAGAACTATATTGTTATTAGTTTCGTGATACAAGTTGGCTAAAGCAATTTATTAGAAATCATGAACAAGTTGAAGAAAATTTGACCAGTACATGAAATAGGCAAGTTTACGGTTAAAGGGTGTATAGCATTTGTTCTGACTAGAAAGTGTGTCCAGTTGTATCTCTGTATAAGACGTGTTTACTTTTAGGATTATGTTGAATTGATTTTGTGTTTGTTCGAGGAATTGGTGTTACGACAGGAATAAGCCCTTTAAACCCTATCATATACAGCTTTCAACTAAGAGATCGTACTAGCAGGTCCTAGATTTACTCACTCAGAGATTGTGTTCATCTCTGAATGTTTGTTTTCTAGAGAATTGGCGAGGAGAGACTCATATCTGTGCTATAAAAGTTTTTTGACAAGTTGGAAGGATTTCTTGAATAAGGATGCAGTAGAAGTCTTAAGATTTTCCAGGGCCTTTTGTTTAAAATTTGAAGGATATTACCAGTAATCAGTAGCAGTAGAAGGCTCACGGTCATATGAGAATATTCTATGGTAGTTCTGAGTTGACAACTCCACTTCATAGCTGCGCTTCCTTTTGTTCAAAAATTTATGAAAATTGAAACATTCGACTATAAAGACTATTCAGCAACATATTGCTGATTTTACTACTAATACAACTGTAAATGCTCTGCGACAGATCTTTTTCGTTTGAAGGAATTAATCATGTATTGTGTTAATTTCACATCTCTGTTTAAGTTGATGTGAGCCCTGAATTCTCAGCAGATAAAGCTACATAAATGTTGGGTAGTGTATGTTGCCGAGGCAAGATGGACTTTATGACAAGATTATTACCCGGCAGGGTATAATGTTCAAGATCTCAATCGTATGTTTTTCTGACGGGCATAGAACGAGTAATTTGAGGAGATATTATTCATAAATTTCTCCATTTGCCAGTACTTGCTATTTTGTGTTGAGGATCGCAATATTCCTCTTCTTAGGAGAAACTGTGTTTGCTGATGAAGTAGCTTTTTGCAGCTAGTACATTGGCATCATCTTATGTATTCTGTGTTAATATTGCTGATGAAATCAAGTGGAGAGCAATCAGCATGTTTTTAGGTCCATACAAATGCTGGAGGCTTTCAGATGCATGTTTATATAGTTGAAGATCAAATTTCGAGATTTGTAATGTTATGAACAGATATTGTAATGTTTTGAGAACTTGTGCGGAGCTCTCTACTCTCACATAGAGAAATGTTTCCTCATCTTTTAAAACTTTTAAAACTTTTAGAGAGGGATTCCCCATTATACCTTCACTTACAACTAACCCCATTCCGTTTCCTAATGGATTTATAAATCATAACCCTTAAATCTAAGCTCTTTCAATAGTAAAATTCCCTCTTAAGATCTATGTAATCTTTCAGATATCCTCTTATTCCGTTTCGCTTCCTCTCCTCCCAACGTTTGATAACTTCAAAGAAGTATTTTCAGCATCTCAAATTATGCTCTGCAAGGCTCATCTTCACTGCTACTGGAGCTTCAAGTTTTGCGAGCAGAGAGGCCCTTTGGGTTCTTTGAGAGAGAAACATGTGCCAGAGGGTATTTTGGTAATTGCATATGTCCAGTTGAGTGCCAAGCCAACCATCATCTATTCATCTATACTTACAGGACGGTCCAAATATCCGCTATTCATACTACAATAAATGACTGTAGTATTATTACTGCAGCACATACGTAATATTATTGTATTAAAAAAATATTACTATAGTATTTTAAAAAATACTGTATCATTTAAAACAGAATTATTATAACAGAAACAAAAAAATAGAGGCCGAACTTTGCAAGGAGTAGACACTAGTTAGAAAGTAACAGAGAAACCAAGGGACAAATTACCCAGAGACTACGGAATTGAGGGACCGATGAGCAATTATTGGGACTTGAGGGACTAATGAGCAGAAATGCGCTGGACAAATTTTCAAAAGCAACCGTTTTACACATTTAATTGTAAAAACCGACCCCTTTTCAAAATAATTGCAAAAACCGACATGTTTTCAGCCCAGCGCTGAAAACAGGTCGGTTTTTGTAAAAAAATTTCCGAAACATCACGGGAGTTCAACTCCCGTGAAGTTTATGCAGAAATTAAACTTCACAGGAGTTCAACTCCCGTGAAGCTTAATTTCTGCTTAATTTCTGCTTAAAATTCCAGAGAATCGAGTCTCTGGCAAATTGTGACTGCAACTTCACGGGATTTCAACTCCCGTGAAGTTGCAGTCCACAAATTGCCAGAGATCGAGTCTCTGGAATTTGGCACTGCAACTCCACGGGACTTGAAATCCCGTGAAGTTGCAGGTCACCCAGCATGCACAGCTTCTGTGCAGGTTTTGTATATTTACCTGTAACTCATATATATGTCAATTTATTTGCAAACAACAATATATACATGATTCAACAATGAATTATAACTCATATATATGCCAATTTATTTGCAAACAACAATATATACATGATTCAACCATGAATTAAACACACACGAATATGTATATGAACAACAATTTATCTTCAAAAGTTTAGTATTTGAAAATTCAGGAAAGTTACAAAATTTATCAAAATAAGTTCATATACAACCCAATATAGCTCCCCTCCTTCCTCTCCCTCTCTTCCCCCTCCCCCTCGCTCTTCCCCGCCCCCTGGGTTCCTGCTGATGAGCCTCAACTATCTGAGTAGCATGCGAAGTGCCGGCGTCATCATCACGCGGCCGTCGACGTCGAGCGTACGCCCGTCCAAATGAGCGAGACCTGTCCTCACGGCCTGCGAACTCGTCGACGTGAGTCCTATGGAACACCTGCGCTATGCTCTTCTTGATCCTGCTGAGGAGACCTAACACCACCTGATCCTGAATCTCAGTCACGTGCGCATCAATATCAGCACCAATGCTATCTAAAACACGGACCTGCGTGGTAAACAATTTATTAAGTATCAACTCAATAAAAAATATTATAATTTAGCTTAGAAACTTACGTAATCTCTCTCGTTCATCCCACTAGGGATGTAACTATCTGTCGGTGGGCGTGGCATGTGTCCAGCTAAAGGCTGTGGGTCACGCGTGATCCATCTACGTGTGATACCCCAATACCAACGCATATACGTGGTATAGTCAACAGCTGTGGGCCTCGTATCCTGTATGCAATCCCACCTCTGAACCCACCTGTCTATGTAGCCCGCACGGACTACGGCCTAGTCAGTCCGGTGCGATGTAGGGTGCCGCCGACGATTGATCTGCTCGACAGGATCTGGAATATGCTGAGAGAGTGTAAACTGCCGTAGCACATGGTCCGGTACATGCATCTCTACGATCTCCCAACAGATCAATGGAACTCTGGCTCTCCACAATTCGGTGACGGGAAATATTGTTGGAGTGCTCTTGGAATTCCTTTCATCCTATCGGATATGAATGTAATCTGCCGCGTTCCCACACTAGGGATATGATATCTAATGCATGCAAAAAACCAAGCCCAATTCTCTGTATTTTCAACATCAACCACTGCGAATGCTAAAGGAAACAACCCGCCATCCGCGTCAACTCCGGTTGCAACAAGCAAAACGCCTTTGTATTTACCATATAAGTGAGTTCCATCAATGCTAAGAAGAGGACGGCAATATCGAAACCCCTCAATACAGGGCCCAAATGCCCAAAATACACCGGTGAACCGCCGTTCTCCGCCATCAACGGGGTCCGAAGATACTTCGTAGACAGTCCCCGGATTTTCTCTTTTGAGTGCTTCAAGATAATGAGGTAAGATCTCATACGAATTATCCCAATCCCCGAATATTTTTATCATCCGAATATTTTTATCAATTTCTCCTTACTCTCGTAAAGATCTCCCTTGATGAATGAGAAGTCCTCGGCCTGTGTATCAACACCGCTATTAGTGCCAATAGGAACAGATCAAGATCCTCCCTCAGATGCGGTAAAATCAATCGATATATAAAAGAAGAGGACGCATTCTTGTTATTCATCTCTAATCGAGGATTGCTACAAGTGTGGAGTCCATTGTATGCCGTGATTTTGAATTGCCCACCTACTCTTGAACCCGAGCGTGAATTAAGCTTCCACGGACACCTCGCATTGCCGTCGTGGTGTCCACTATTATCTTCGACATCGTCATCTTTGCGATAGAAACAAACCACATTATAGCTTGTAGTATTATTTTTGGTTGGCCTGAACTTCACATTTTTTGCAATGGAATACGTGCGAATAGCATGGATCAATTTATCCTTACTCTCGTAAAGATCTCCCTTGATGAATGAGAAGTCCTCGGCCTGTGTATCAACACCGCTATTAGTGCCAATAGGAACACTTTCCATCGCGGAGTTATCAATCCATTCATCTCCTTGAAGTTCATCGGGCGGCGGATCCTCTAAGCCGACATACTCATTATTAACATAAGCCCCGTCGATGTGTTGGTTTTCCCCGTCATCACGATCTATCACGGTCATGCTATTAATTTGTAATCCCTCCTCTTCATCATCATTCTCGGATTCAACACTTGCATTATCTTCTTGAATTCCCGTGTTAGTATCGAAAGCATTCGAAGTGCCCACGAACGAAGGACCGCTCATGTATTGTGATTGTGTCCAACATTCATCTTGTTGAGGAGATAAAAAGCCTACAGAATCAACTTCAGGATCCTCCAACATGCGGGAATACATTCCTTCGTAGTTCAACGATTTGCCCAAATCTCTCTGATGTTTTTCAATGAACAATTCGACCGAACGCTTCTCGTCGTGTAAGACATGAATGAGACCCATATCGTAGTCCGAAGATATTTGAATGCCACTTGTTCTGTTCCCCACAACAGGATAATTGCAAACCACACTGAGGTGATACTCACGTGAGTTAGTTAATGTAAGTTTGTGTAATTCATTAACCAACTCATCGAAAGTACACGATTTTGTTATGAACAACGGTCTCGTCGTGCCTCCTTCATAAACGGGCATATTATTCTCGAGGTAATTAATCTTCCCATCATAAGAACAGAGAATTACAATTCGATCGTTCATCGTTACCTCTGAAGAGTGAAAAATTCAATATCAATATTACACGAAAAGCCAAATAAATATTGATTGTTCCTAATTTTTACATTTAGGTAATAAGTCTAATTTCCAAATTAATTGATAATTTCACAAAATTCGTAAATAATTCAAAATTAAATTCTAAAATCTAATTTAAATCATACATATGTAAAATCTAAAATCTAATTTTTCTTCACAAAATCTAAATAATTCACAATTAAATTCTAAACTCTAAATACAATAATTTTCGAAATTATTGATAATTTCCCCTCTAATTTCACAAAATTATTGATAAATTACACACTAATTCTTCACAAATTTCACAAAAATTATTGATAATTTCCCCATTGATAATTTTCCCTCTATTTTTCACATTTATTGATAATTTTCCCTCTAATTTTCACATTTATTGATAATTTCCCATCTACTTTTCACATTTCTTCATAAAATTCATAAACAATTCATAATTAAATTTTAAAATCTAGATTCTTACATGTAATCACAATCAAATAGTGGGAGTATACAACAATTAGAGAGTATAGCTTTTTTTTTGAAAGAATTTACCTGTTTTTTGGAAAAAACTGACTGAGATCTGACCGGAGGCGGCGGTCGGAGGAGGCGGCGCCGGCGGCGGTCGGAAGCTGGGGCACCGGCGGGGGTCGGAGGCTGGAGCGGCGGCGGTCGGAGGATGGGGTGGCGACTGAGAAGGCGGCGTTTGGGAAAGAGGCTGAAATATTAGGGTTTGTGTGGTCTGGGGTCGGGTCACGCGCTTAAATAGGGTCACCAAACTCCACGGGATTTCAAGTCCCGTGGAGTTGCAGTGCCAAATTCCAGAGACTCGATCTCTGGCAATTTGTGGACTGCAACTTCACGGGAGTTGAAATCCCGTGAAGTTGCAGTCACAATTTGCCAGAGACTCGATTCTCTGGAATTTTAAGCAGAAATTAAGCAGAAATTAAGCTTCACGGGAGTTGAACTCCCGTGAAGTTTAATTTCTGCATAAACTTCACGGGAGTTGAACTCCCGTGATGTTTCGGAGATTTTTTTACAAAAACCGACCTGTTTTCAGCGCTGGGCTGAAAACAGGTCGGTTTTTGCAATTATTTTGAAAAGGGGTCGGTTTTTGCAATTAAATGTGTAAAACGGTTGCTTTTGAAAATTTGTCCGAAATGCGCTCCCGAAATATCTTCGCTTTTGGCTCCAAAACCCTAAAACCCAGACGACGGTCACCGGCGTGATCGCCATTCTCGTCTCGTTCAACCATCTCCCATGCTTTTCGCGGCACTTTGTAGGCCCCTCTATCTACCCCCCTCTTCTTCCATTTCCCAAGTTTTATGATTTCAAAAACCATGCTCAGTTTTCTCAGCAGAGTTAGAAACCCCAACGGATTCGTGTTTGATTACAAACAAGGATCGAACCCATCGACAAACCATCTCAGATTCATCTCAAAAGTCCCCGAAAACCCCGTTAAGGATCAATCTACTTCTTCATCGACCGCATCTTACCTCACAAACTCGTGCGGCCTCTGTCCTCAATCTGCCCTCTCCGTTGCCCAAAAAATCGGGCTCAGGACCACCGAGAACGCTGATTCAGTCCTAAATTTCCTCAAATCCCACAGCTTCACGGACACCCAGATCGCAAAGCTCATCACCAGGGACCCAAGGCTCCTCCTGTTCGGTGTCGAAAGCGACCTGAAGCCGAAGATCGACTTTTTCGTGGATGCTGGTTTCTCTTCCGCTGAATTTGCAAGCCTTGCTTGCTCCCACCCATGTCTGCTCAGGTCAAGCCTGCAAAATAGACTCAAGCCCAACTTCGAGCTGCTCAGCTGCATGATCGGAGATAACAACAGGTTGCTTGTTGCCCTCCGCCGGAACAATGGGTTGCTCGGCAGCAATCTCGAAACCAATTTCCTGCCCAATGTTGGAATCCTTCAATCTTATGGAGTCCCCTCTCCCAAAATTGCCAAATTAGCCGCCACCTACCCAAGGGTTCTGATGTACAAAACCGAGAAGTTCGCCACGACCATTGAATCCGTTAGGAAGTTTGGGTTCGACCCGTCAAGAAGCCTCTTTATCCAAGGAGTTTCCGTTTTGTCGCAGATGAGCCCTTCGGCGTGGGAGAGAAAGTTGGGCATCTATAGGAGTTTGGGGTGGTCAGAAGAAGAGACCATATCGGCCTTCACCAAGCAACCATGTTGTATGACTCTGTCAGAGGAGAAGATCAGGAAAACGATACATTTCTTCGTCAAGAGGCTGCATTTGGAGCCAAATTATCTGGCGGCACGCCCTGTGCTTTTGCACCTTAGTCTGGAGAAGAGGGTCATCCCTAGGTGTTCTGCGCTTAGCGTTTTATCGTCGAAGAGGTTGATAAAGGGATTCCCCTGCGTACACTACGGAGCTCTCTTAATAAGTGAGGACAAGTTCTATGATAAGTATGTGAGAAGCTATGTGGATCAAGCTCCTGAGGTGCTTGAGGCTTACAAAGGAAATTTAGAATTCATGGAATTTACGGGCGGACCATCAACTGTACAAGGGTCATAGTTATGTATGCTATGTGCTTCTTTGCTGTATCTCTCAGCCTGTTCACATAGTCCAGATTCTTTCATCCTTTACTGGTTTGATGTTTAGGACTTGATACTGGAGGATACTTCACATGTTGCCTTGGGCTCCAGAAAAGGGTACCCTTATCTGAATTTGGTGGGGAATTATAATCATGTTTACAATTTAAGTCCTTCCGTTTGTTTACATTAACAAGCAAATATGTTTATATGGCATCACTTCTAATCTATTCATTTTAGTGTTGCTGATTGGAGTTAGTATATTGGATAATTAGATTATTTTGTTTCTTATAATTGTCAAGATTGGTCGTATTAAGTGCTTCTTTTCTCTTCTTCTTCTTCTTGTTTTTTTTCTCCCTGATCTATCGAGACCAATACACTATATGGATTCTATTCAAACTCTATCTCAATTATATATGGAGAGTGAATTGTAATACTTCAAAAGGATCTGGAAACATCTACAAAGAGGTTTAGATAAAGAACCAATTTATGCCATATTGAATTAGCACTTTATTGATACAATGGAGAATGTGTATTGGAGGTACGACTATTTTCTGTTTCGAGGGGATAACCTGTTTGGAGTTACTGAAGGATTATGGTTATATTATGAACTAACAATGTGTATATTTTCATTCTAATATAAATTAACAGATATATTGATATCGCATTAAGGGTCGTGTTATCTCTGTTTCTGATATTAATTTGAGTGTAAAGTGTGGTTTTCTATAATTACTGATGTTTTGTTCCACGCGAATTTGTGTTTCCATGTTTTTTGGATCTACGTGCGATCCAGTTTGTGTTTCGCAATTCAAAACCGGTTGCTATTACTTTCATGATAAAGAGTTGGTTAAATATGGATTTAATTGTGATATGCAGCCTTTTCTATGACCTTATTAAAAGATTAATGCATCTCTCGTAAATTTTTGTTGTTTACAAGAATGATGATTCAGCATATTCATCATATATGAGGGGCTAGGACTAACAAATATATATTTCAGAAGGATTTTTTCTGAAACGGAAGCGATTCAAAGGTTTAGTATAGCAAAAAATAGCTTATATTCAGAAACCTAAACTAGCAAATATGCAATATATCGTTGTTCTTGCTGCTCAACTGGTCAAATCTTGAATCAAAGAAACTAACCCACTCTATCCGTTATATAACAATATGATCCATATGCAATGCAAATTTTGAATATAACATGGGATAGAAAATATCACAATTAAAGGGCTTACAAGGGCTAGACTGGAGGAAATGGATGTCGAGAATGAGGAGACAATGACAGTAGAGTATACAAAACCAGGAAATGAGAGGGTTTGAATTATCAAAGAGGAAAGAGAGCTTTTTTTGTTGTCTCTATATGTTGGGGGACTCTATTTTTTCCGACGGGTCCTAATTTTTCCCCCCTCTGTGTATGATCCTTGTGTATCCTTGGATTAAGATTAGTAGGAGTACATACTTCTGGTTGATTGATCAGTTCTATAATGCCAAAACTGCCGAAACAACCTTATTGTATGATGCCATTGAATAAACTTTTGTGCTTCTCTTTTTCTATGAAAGCTAATTTGGAGTTGTTTTTTATAATATGAAAATATTTGGTGAGCAGGAACTTTGATATTAGCACATATGTCAGTATGAAAGAGTTTAATGAGCAGGTAAGGTTAATATGAGCACATGTATAAATAATTTTGAGCATATGTGCACAGGTTTAATTTCAAGACTCTAAAGGTGCCACAGCCTTCCAAGGTAAAATTTAAAACTAATAAGGTTTAATTTCTGATTTTAGTCGGTTTTAAACTATGCCATAGTTCCTTCTTAGATTTCATTTCTTCAGGATTAATTCCTTCATAAATTTACTTAAGCATGCATACTTTAAAAACAAGTTAGAGAAGATTTGGGACGATAATATATACGTCCATAGGGTAACTGCCCTGTTTTCATATTATGTATGGTAAGTAAACTTTGAATTTATGCATATGGATCCTTGTTGTCTTTTACATTTTTATATCTTGTAGAAATACCACATATGTTTAGTTTTCTCCATATCTCTGCTTTTTATTGCTGATCAGCTGGAAATACCATCGTACAGGTTTTTCAAGACATATGTTATGCTCTGAGGATCAATTGTGAATTTTATTCAGCTTTTGAACTCATTTGACTTGTTATGCTTGGATTGATTCCTTGATCTTATAGCTTCAATTATGCAACAAAAGGTTGAAGAATTTTGGTGGAAATGTAGCATAAATTGACTATTGTGTAGAAAATTTGATCTAAGCCTGTACTCACATATGATAAGCTTGGATGATTCTTCGATTGGTATGCGTTCAAGCATGAAGAAGATGAAACATTTTGATCATGTAGTTTCTCTGTTATCAAATGTGTAACATTGTGTTAAGAACTATGATATTCCTCATTCTTTCTCAGATTCATGCAGTGCCTTTGTTTATACCAGTTGATTCTTAAGCATACCCCTCGTTAAGTCTGATTTAGAGACGGCAAGTTCTTTGTGTGTTTTGCTTGAGTAATCTTGCAACTTGCAGATTTTGATCATCTTCCGGGTTCTGTAAGTTACTATTTATTTGGTGGAAATTTTTCATTTTTGCATAAGTAATTTTAATGATGAAAAGCTATAAATCACAAAAGAAATTTTTCTGCCAACAAGCACGATGTATGTTATTTGTTGATATAGCTCTTAAGATAAACTCTTGCAGTATATGTTACCTGTTGATGATATAGTTTTAGTTGGTGAGAGTAGGAAAGGGATAAATTCCAAAGTAGAAGGGTGGCGAGAAGCTCTCGAATTTCAAGGATTTAGGGGTAGCAGAGACAAATAGAATATATGTAATGAATTTTAATAGAAGTGCTAATGACATGTAATTAGGGCATGTTGACAATTATGAAATATGTAAGGCTAGTCAGAGTCAGTAATTTGTCATGATGATGATGAGATACGAGTTGTTAAAGTGGATGACTGGTTCTGGAATCTTATGTGGCTAAAAAAACCCTTATGTGATAACTGGGCTGTGTTTGGATACCATTTTGAGTTTTTTCTGGTGTTCTAAAGAAACACCGTGCCATTGTGTTTTTTTTTCCCCAAAAGCGTTTTGAGAACACCACTTTGAGTTTGTTTGTCAATACTAGTCTGACCATTTCCGTAGACATATATTGTATTATAATAATATCATATATATGAAATATAGCATATATGTTATAATATATTTTATATTAACTAGGGCGGTAAACATGATGTTTCGTGTTTCCTCCATTTCCGTGGTGTTTTTATCGAAATAAAAACATCGTTGCGATTGAATAACTCATCAATTTTGATGGTAATCTAGGTAGAGGGACTCCACACTTTTGTGTGTAGTGTATGAATAATCTGGAGAAGTGCGGTTTAACTAGAGTTATCCATGTGCAAATTGTTTAAAGGGAGTTGCGCCTTTTAAAACGACTGCAAAAAGGAGTTGAGGAGATGGGTATAACGGACAAACTATTGTTAACTTTGTTCGTGCCTAACAAACTAGTGTGAACACCGTGCAAAACACGTCATATTTTTTCCCCGCTACAGTAATCCCAGTTTTAACTGCTACATTTTATTTTTTTGGATTTTTTGAATTGCCACAATACCCGCCTCTGCTACAGTATTCCCGTGTGCTACAATAATATTTTTTAAAAAAACGCAGTGCCCAGTATCATGATTGCTACAGTAAATATTACTGTAATATTTGCTGTAATATGAATAATAAATTTTGGGTTCTCCCATTATTTGTAGAGGAGTAGATTTGAGCCGAGGGACAAATTTGAGCTAAGCAATGAGTTATGAGGGACGTAATTCACAATAGAAAGAGGGTTCCTAAGAAACAGCTTTAAAATTTTGGGGTTTTTATCAAACGGTCCAACATTTACGAGGTGCTGCGAATTTCTGTAGGGATGCGTTCCTCTGAAACCCTCCTTTTACTCCTATAATCCTTATGCCAGGCGCCATTGTCGTCTGGTTCAATCGCCGTTCCTCTTCTGAGTCTCAAAGATCTCGTCGCCTTTTGCTGCATTTTGTAAGCTCCTCTGATTAATTTCCCTTTTTCCTCCATTTCCACAGTTTTCTGCTTCAACAATTATGCTTAGTTTATTTCTCCACAGAATCAGAAATTTTAACAAACGCTTGTTTGATTATGAACGAGGATCAAACCCATTAACAACCCATCTCAGGTTCATCTCAAAAACCTAACAAGAAAAACCCATTAAGAATCAATCTAATTCTTCACTAACAATCTCTTACCTCACAAACTCATGTGGTCTCTCTCCTCAATCGGCCCTCTCTGCTGCCGCGAATATCCAGCTCAAAACCACTGAGAACGCTGATTCAGTCCTAAATCTCCTCAAATCACACGGTTTTACAAATACCCAGATCACGAAACTCGTCACCGAGCCCATGGCTTCTCCTATGCGGGGTCGAGAAAACCCTCAAGCCAAAGATCGAATTTTTCCTAGACGTCGGTTTCTCTTCCTCTGAATTTGCAAGCCTTGTTTTCTCTGACCCATGTTTACTCACGTCAAGCTTACAAAATAGACTCGAGCCTAATTTTGAGCTTATCAGCTCAATGGTTGGGAATAACAAGAAGTTGCTTGTTTCTCTTTGCCGCTCTGCTCGTTTTCTTCGCACCAATCTTGAGGCCAATTTCTTGCCTAATGTCAGAATCCTTCAATCTTGTGGAGTCCCCTCTGCCAACATTGCCAAATTAGCAACCCTCTACCTGAGAGATCTAACAGGTAATACCAAGAGGTTTGCTATAGCAGTGGAGTCCGTTAAGAAAATTGTTGTGGCGGCACGAAAGCGGGACAACCAAACGGGCGTGTTTCGAGAACCAAATCAAACAAACGTCGAGATAAAGGCCAAACAAATCAAAACAACAGTACAAATCCAAACACAATAGTTTTACGTGGTTCAGTAAGTTTCCTACGTCCACGGGGCAAGAAGGGGATGAGGTTTTCACTAATAGAGAAAGAGTACAAACTGAGATTACAAATCACTAGAAGAAACAAACTAATCTCACTAACAAGCTCTTAATCTCTCCAAACAAAACCCTAAACAAATAGCTCAGAAAATCTAAGAAGCACCGACTCGTGAAAACTCCCCACGTCCCCGTGTCCGACGCTTGTCGGGGACGGACACGCGTTCGATACGTGTTCGACACGCGTCGGACACGGCGTCAACGGCGTCGACACGGTCAGCTCTAGTCGACACGGCGAAGTTGAGGGCGACACGGCGAAGTTGAGGGCGACACGGCGAAACCAGAATTTGAAACCCAAACCCGAAACCCAAATTCAAACAGAAACCCAAACAAACAGACTTCGACACGCCGTCAGCTCTCAGTCTCCTCGTCGTCATCGTCGTCCTCGTCGCCGTCATCGTCGTCAGCTCCAAGGTCAGTCCCTCTCCCTCTCTCCCCCCCCTCTCTCTCCCCGCGATCGATCTGTCCCTTCCCCTCTCTGTTTCTCTCTGGCTCTCTCTCGCTTATCTCTTTCTCTCCCTCATTTATCTCTTTCGCACTCACCACAAAAAAAACCCATAACTTTCCCGTTTCAAAAAAAAACCCCACGAACACCGCTTTAACCCCACCATCCACTGTTCTCCCCTCTCTCTCTCAAAAATCGCCCACAGGATTCAAACAGCCTCTGCTCCCCCACTCAATGGTTTCGTATTTTAAAATAGTGGTTACTGTTTACCACTTTGTCATTTTCCCACACACATTTCAACCAGCCTCTGACCCCCCCACTACGATGCTTTCATATTTTAAAATAGTTGTTACTGTTTGTCACTTTGACATTTTTCTACAGTAACTTTGACATTTTTCTTACTTTCGGATGCTTCACTGTTTGATATTCTCATTTTGGATGCTTCACTGTTTGGTATTCTCATACTTCATTGTTGATCGGTGATTAGGTTAGGTTGTTTGTTGTTTTGCTGCTGTTAGTTAATTTGGATGATAATCTTTGTTTGTTTACTATTTTGTTGCTTTATTACCATGTTAACTGTTATTAATTATTCTTTTTTTTACTGTTTTGCTACTGCTAGATAATTTTCTAATGTTAACTGTTATTTGCTTACTGTTCTACTATTGTTTGCTTTTAGTTACTGTTATTTGCTTACTGTTCTACTATTGTTTGCTAGATAATTTTAAGATATGCTTTTGAGTGTAATTTTTATATTTTTGCAATGTTAGTAACTTAGTATTTTGTAGTCATTGAACTAGTTGCAACTTGAACTTTATTCTCTTGTATTTTTATATGCTCAAGATGAAAGTAGTGAAAATTAAAAAATCTAGCCGTGTCGCCGTATCCTATTTTTTGGGGTTTTGCCGTATCCGTGTCCGTGTCCGTGTCGTGTCCGTGTCGCCGTGCCCGTGTCCGTGCTTCATAGCAGAAAATACCTCTTTTCTGTGCTTCAAATATCCCCAATTTGCTTCTCAATTCTCTCTTCCAATTGTTCCATATACATAGAAATCCTAAAATCATAAACACACTAGGAATTCTAAACCAAAAGCCAAAACAAATTAGGAATCCTAATAACCTATTACCAAAATAGATTAGGAATCCTAATAACCTCATGTTACCAAAATAGATTAGGAATCCATTTTCTAACAATTCTTCACCTCAGCGAAGTTTTTCCAAAACTGAGCGGACACCAATACCAACCAAACGTCTCACTTGTTGCGTCCAGTACGAAGTGGAACAAATCCATGTCAACGGACTCAATCCACAACAAGTCGAGAACCCAAACGAGAATGCGAACAAACTCTAAATGTCGGTATCAACTCACCAAACCGGCTGCATCATAAATGACTGCCTACGTATCCTCTTGTCCAAAGAATCAAGCCTTCACGTAGTTTACCAAAACGGTCTTCAAAAGCCTCAATCCACTAGAAGAGTTCGCAACCCTTTTCCAACATCACGATCAAGTCTACGGTTGATAGCATTTCCAATCGCGCCAAATTGAAACAATTCAAACATCTCCACCTAAGATGAACCAATGGTCATATCCAAACTCCATCTATCAGCTGCACTCGAATCGATCAACCTATCATCTGCATCCAAATCAACACGATTCACAATCTGTGTCACATCAGTTGGAATCCCAAATGACACAGTATGATCTGGAGTCTCCACCTAACGTGGAGTAGCATCACTCTCCACCCGCTGCGATATCCCAAAGATCTGATCATCACTCTCCATCTGCCGAGAGTCAAGCGTGACATACCTGCTCAGAACAAAATCAGAAGCTAATACATGATAATCAAACACGTCTCTGACTACCAAATGTGCTATCGGATCAAATCTCACATCCACGATGTGACCAAGTGCTGAGTAGTCAAACATTCGACACAACCCAAAATCTGAAGCAGCTCTACCGGATCCAAAATCTCTACATGCAGCAGTCGGCAACATATACATAAGATGGTCCAAACATGTCGTAGCCTGCACACTAATGCCAATGCTCGATATCAAACGCCGATCCTCCTCCAGAAAGGAACAGCTCCCAAAATCTGCCATCTCATCACGTCGCCTTAAAATTTCCACACCAATGAAGTGTCTCCGATTGCCGTGAGCTCGGCACAAACGTAAGAAAGAACCCCTACCATAATCAGAACGTTGGGTTACCTTTCTATCAACACACTTCCTTCATCTGTTGCGGGTTTCTAGGACTTCGCACCAACGGGACTTGGTTGCAACCCACCAATGCCTAGAACAATCCCAAACTGCGGAAACCACATACCTATTACCACAATACCAAACAAAACCCTAAACAAATAGCTCAGAAAATACCTCTTTTCTGTGCTCCAAATATCTCCAATTTGCTTCTCAATTCTCTCTTCCAATTGTTCCATATATATAGAAATCCTAAAATCATAAACATACTAGGAATTCTAAACCAAAAGCCAAAACAAATTAGGAATCCTAATAACCTATTACCAAAATAGATTAGGAATCCTAATAACCTCATGTTACCAAAATAGATTTGGAATCTGTTTTCAACAAAAATCGGATTCAGCCCGTTATCACCGCTCTTTGTGAAGGGATTCACCGCGAAGTCAGCAATAAGCCTTTTGACATGGGAGAGGAAGTTGGGTGTGTATAAGAGTATGGGGTTTTCAGAAGGAGAGATCATCTCGGCATACGCCAAGCAACCGGGCTGCATGCTTATATCGGAGAAGAAAATCAGTCAAAAGGTAGATTTCTATGTCAAGAGGATGCATTTGGAACCGAATTATTTGGCGGCACGCCCTGTGCTTCTGTGTCTTAGCCTGGAGAAGAGGGTCCTCCCAAGGTGTTCTGTGCTTCGCGTTTTATCATCAAAGAGGTTGATAAAGGGATTTCCCTGTGTACACTTTAAAGCTTTCTTATTAAATGAGGAAATGTTCTATAATCAATATGTGAGCAAGTATATGGATCAAGCTCCTGATGTGCTTGAGGCTTACAAAGGAAATTTAGAATTTGTGGAATCTGAGGGTGGACCATCAACCGGACAAGGCTCATAATTATGTGGCGCTATTTGCTTCTTCGCTGTATCTCTCAGCGCCTGTTGATATAGTTCAGCTTCTTTCATCCTTTTCTGGTTTGATGTATAGGACTTGATACTGGAGGATACTTTAGAAAAGTTACCCTTATTCTAGATCTGCAGTTACTTAAGGATTATAATCATGTTCACAATTTAAGTCCTTCAGTTTGTTTATGTTAAAAAGCAGATGTCTTTATGTGGCATCACTTCTAACCTATTTACTTATGTGTTGCTGATTGGAGTTAGTATGTTAGATTATGTTGTTTACTGTAATTGTCTGTAACTTTTACTTGTAAGACTGGTCTTATCATCATCATCATCATCTTCTTCTTCTTCTTGTTTCTATTATGATCTTTTGAGACCAATGCACCATATGGAGTCCATTCAAACTCTTATCTTAATTATATATGGAGGGTGACTTGTAATGCTTCAAAAGGATTTGGAAACATCTACGAAGAGGTTACCAACTTATGTCATGTTGAATTAAGACTTTACTGATACAGTGGAGAATGTGTGCTGGGGGTATGATATTTTCTGTTTCGAGGGGATAACCTACTTGGAGTTACTAAACTATTATGGTTATTTTATGCGCTAACAATGCGTATATTTCAAGCTAATGTAAGTGAACAAATATCTTGATATTGCATCAAGGGTCATGTTATCTCCCTGTCTGGTTTTAATTTGAGTGTAAAGTGTGTGAAGCTTTCTATAATTACCGATGTTTTATTCCTCGCGAGTTTGTGTTTCCATGTTTTGTTGATCATCATGACATGCTATCCAGTTTGTGTTTCGCAATTCGAAACTATGTTGCTACTACTTTCATGATAAAGAGTTAGTTGAATATGGATTTAATTGTGATATATGCAGCCATTTCTATGACCTTCTTAAAAGACTAATGCATCTCTTATAAAGTTTTGGTGTTTGCAAGAATGCCGATTCAGCATGTTCATCATATTTGAGGGGCTAGGCTAACAAATATATTTATCAGAAGGATTTTTTTTCTCCTCGGACCGAAAGTAAATAATATATTTAATTTAGCAAAAAATAGTTTATATTCAGAAACCTAAACTAGCCAACATGCAATGCATCGGTTTTTTCCCTTTTTCTTTTTTCCACTTTTCTTTTCTTCTTCTTCTTCTTCTTCTTGCTACTCAATTGGTCAGATCATAACTCAAAGAAACTAATCCGCTATGCACGGTAGATAACAATCTGATCCATATGGGGTGCAAATTTTGAATAGAATATGGGATAGATGTTGTGAGGCGCGTGTGGGGGCCACGAATTTTGGCGTGGGAGAAGTGAACGTGGGGACCCACGTTGTGAAAGTGGCACGTGAACAACACTTTATTTCTCGCAATGATTTCAGCGGGCTAAGAGGCCCACCCGAAAATTCGTGCTTATAAATACACGTGTTCTTCCTAGGGTTTGGTGTGCAAGCAGGGGCGAAAAAGCGGCGTAGAAGGGAAAACAACAAAGATTTTTTCGGCTATTCTTGGTGAAGAAAAAGCGCCGACTTTGAGAGGGTTTGAGCATCCTTTTGAGAGAGAAATTAAGAGCTTGTTTGAGGGTTTTATTTGTGAGACTTTGTGTGTTTGTAAACTCTATTTGTATTCTTTTTCTCTCTAATAGTAGATCTCTCCCCTCATTGCCTCGTGGACGTAGGCAACTTGCCGAACCACGTAAAATTCGTTATCTTGCTGTGATTTGCAATAGCTTGTTTATGTTCCCTCGACAAGTCAGTCCTTGAAATGATGAGAGAAAGAGTATATATCCCACTTTATTGAGATATATCACTTTCGATTCTTATTTCCTTAGTGAAACGGGAATTTAGTTGTGATCTTACTCTCTTGTTATGCACCAGAAGTGCTGTCAAAATTTTCGCTGCGCACAACACCTACTAAGAGTGTATATTCCACTTTGTTGAGATATATCACTTTCGGTTCTTGTTTTCTTTGTGAAACAGGGATTTAGTTATAATCTTACTCTCTTGTTATGCACCAGAAGTGCTGCTGATATTTCTGCCGCGCACAAAGTGGTATCAGAGCCCAGGTTTTGGCTTGGGGCTTGTTCGAAGGATTCGCTGAAGGATTCTTATTTGAAGAGTTAGATCTACAACATGGGTGAAACAAGCACATCGGGATCGTCTCTTTCGAAGGCGATACCGAGTCTGAGCATCAATAATACAAAGATTGATGTTCCGAACTTCGACGGTAAGATCAATTTTGGTTTGTGGAGGTGTCAGGTGATGGATACGTTGGATGCACAAAATTTGGAGGATTCTCTTGAGTTGAAAGAGAAACCAGATGATATGGAGGATAAGGTTTGGATGAAGATGAACAATAGGGCTTGTGGAGTTATTAGGTCATGTTTGATGCCGGATCTAATTTATGATGTGATGAACGAGACGTCGGTGAAGAAATTATGGGAAACGCTCAATGAAAAGTATCTTACTAAAAGCATTGAGAATCGGCTTCACTTGAAGAAGAGGTTTTACTAGTTCAAGATGAAGAGGAGAGTTTCCATTAGGGAGCATGTAAATACCTTTACGAAGTTACTTTCAGATATGACCAATATGGATATCATGGTTGAGGATGAAGATAAGACGATGCTACTTTTGTGTTCATTGTCGGAGGATGATTATGGTACTTTTATTCTAACTATGATCAATGGTAGAACTACTATTAGTTATAAGGAGGTGACCTCAGCTTTGATAAATTATGAATTGAGAAAAAGTGATAACGAACCCTCCGAGAAGGCATCGGGAGATGCATTAGCAGTTCGAGGTCGTACTCCAAACCGTTGGCAGTTCAACTGCTCAAAATCGAGGAATAGAGGTGGCCATAAGAGTGTTAGTAGGAACCGGTGTCATTTTTGTAAAGAAGAAGGACATTGGAAGAACGAGTACCCAAAGTTAAAAGATAAAGCCGAGAAGAATAAAGGAAAAGATGTATAAGCTTCGGAAGTGAATGTTGTCAAGGCTAGTGACGATAATTCAGATACGAATTCTTCGAGCTTTTCATGCTCAGCATTACCGTCAGTTTGTATCACTGACTCTACAGAGTGGATGATGGATTTTGGTGCTACATACCATAATTACCCTAGGAGGGATTGGTTCTCCAGCTTTGAGGAGTTGAAAAGAGGGGATGTCGTGCTTATGGATAATGATCATGTATGCCCTATTGGTGGTATTGGTATAGTTCGGATCCGCATGTGTGACAGGGTGACTCGGGAGCTGAATGAAGTAAGATTCGTGCCGCAGTTGACGAAGAACATTATTTTACTTGAAACTTAGGAGGCAACTGGCTATCGGGTGATCTTGGAGAATGCAACTCTGAAGATCACGAAGTGGTCCATGGTGGTGATGCGAGGTGTCAGGAAAAACAACATATACTACTTGAAGGGCAAGATAGTTACAGGGGGTCCGACAGCTTCAATCACTACAGAGGAGGACACTATCAGTTTATGGCACATGCGTTTAGGACACACTGGTGATAATTTCCTACAAGCATTGGCGAAACAGGGGCTATTGAAAGGTGTGAAGACCTGTAAGATGAAGCTGTATGAGCATTGTGTACTTAGGAAGAAGACAAGAGTGAAGTTTGGCACCGCTATTCATAATACCCAAGGTATATTAAACTACATTCACACAGATGTTTGGGGCCCTTCCAAGCACACATCACTTAGTGGGGTCAACTATTTTGTCACTTTTATTGACGATTATTCCAGAAGAAATTAGGTATACCCTATAAAACATAAACATGAGGTCCTAGATATTTTTGTGGAGTGGAAGAAGAAAGTGGAGCTGCAGACAGGTAGAAAGGTGAAGACTCTTCGTTCGGACAATGGAGGAGAGTATAAGAGTGATCCATTTCTGTAGTTTTGCCGAAATCACGACATTAGACGACACTTCACACTACGTGAGACACAACAACAGAACGGGGTGGCTGAGAAGTTGAACCGTACATTGCTGGAGAAGGTGTGATGTATGATGACACAGAGTGGATTGTCAAGATCCTTTTGGGTCGAGGAGTTGGTTTATGTGAGTCATCTCGTGAATAGGTTATTGTGCACTGCGATATAGGGGAAGACTCCTATGGAGCGTTGGTCTGGTTCGGTGGCTAGTGACTATGAGTCGCTTCGAATATTTGGGTGTCTTGCTTATTACCATGTCAGTGATGGTAAATTGAATCTGAGGGCGAGGAAAGTTGTCTTTGTGGGTTTTAGAGAATGTGTTAAAGGCTTCAAGTTATGGGATCCACGGAACAAGAAGATAGTTATTAGCAGCGATGTTACTTTTGATGAGGCGTACATGATGAGGTCTCAAGTTCCTCAACAGGTGGAGGAAGACCAGACAGATAGGATATCATAGCAAGTAGAGGATAATGTGACTCCACCCACTCCAGATACCATTATCCATTGAGGCTCCTACAGAGGTGATACTGGGAGGGGATGGGATGACAGTCGGGCATATAGATGATAAAGTGGATAGTGACTCAGGAGCAGGGTCATGTTTAGGATTTCATTGCAACAAACAGACCCAAAAGAGTGATTCATCAGCCAGCTAGATATAATAATGTCATGGTTGCATATACCTTATCAATTGAGGTCGTTGATGATTTGGTTCCTCCTATATTCAAGGAGGCAGAGTCTAGCTCTGATTCGATCAGGTGAAGAGAAGCTATAGAAGAGGAGATGCGCTCTCTTCAGAAGAACGATACTTAGAAACTTGCAAAGCTACTGAAGGATAAGAAGGCTATTGGATGCACGTGGGTTTTTGCAAAGAAAGAGGGATCTTCTATTGGGGACATTCGATACAAAGCCAGATTGGTTGCCAATGGTTATGCACAGCTTGAGGGCGTTGATTACAACGAGGTATTCTCACCTGTTATAAAGCATTCGTCGATTAGGATTCTGTTGGCATTGGTGGCATAGCTGGATTTGGATTTGGTCCAGATGGATGTTAAGACAGCCTTTCTACATAGAGATTTAGAAGATGGGATCTACATGACACAACCTATGGGGTTCAAAGCTGCAGGAAAGGAAGAATTAGTGTGCAAGCTAAAAAAAATCTCTTTACGGATTGAAGCAATCGTCGCGACAATGGTACAAGATATTTGATGGTTTTATGATTGGCTAAGGGTGCACGAGGAGCCCATATGACCCATGTGTTTACATGCACAAGCTACAGGATGGCGCGTACATCTATTTGTTACTATATGTTGATGATATGCTTATTGCCTCCAAGAATTCTTCGGCTATTCGAAAGTTAAAAAATGAGCTGTCATCCGAGTTTGAGATGAAGGATCTTGGAGAGACGAAGAAGCTATTGGGTATGAAGATCGAGAGAGACAGAGCGAAAGGGAGA